CATAATTTCTCGCTTTCTGTCTCTCTGTCTCTCTCTGTCTGTCTGGTGAGCGCACGCGCTCTACAGCAAAAACCTCTCCAAAAAAAAAAAAAAGAGTCAATAAATCAGTTAGTATATGCTACCATTCTACACATGCTAGAAAAGAAATATCGTAAAGTAATGTTAATTGATACAGAAAAATTATTGACAAAATCCAGTACTAACTCGTGATAAACATTTTCATCAAACTAGGATTAGAGTAAGAACCCCCTCAACTTGATGAAGAGCATGTATGGAAAGTCTGCAGTTAACGTCGAACTTGGTAGTGAACGACTAAATTATTCCAAAGTTGGGAATAAGGCAATGGTGTCTGCTTTATTTTTATTCAACATAATGCTTACAGTTTTAGTCAGTGCCATAGAACAAAAAATAAATAAAAAAGTTACTATTTGGAAAGGAAGAAATAAAACTATATTTATACTAGATGGGCAGATTGATTGATTTATATTGACAGATTTATAGATCCCTACATAGACATAATTATCTATGTAGAAAGTTACAAAAATACTCCTGGAATTAATAAGTAAGTTCAACAAGGTTGCAGCATGTCACAAACAAAAATTAAACTCATCAGAATGTGCATGTTCAATATATACACTTAATACATAAATTATCATTCAAAAAATAAATTGCATTCTGTATACTAACAATGAACATATGGAAACAAATTAAAAGCACAATATCACTTTAAAATGCTCCCAAGAAAATAAAATACTTAGATATAAAAGTAAAAAATTTATATAGGACATATTTCCAAAACATTACAAAACCTAAAGAAAGCCATAAAAGAAGATAGTGACAAATGAAAGTGCATGCAATGTTCATGGATTAGTATAGTCAACATAGTACAAATATTGATTCTCCCCAAATTGATTGAGAGGTTTAATGCAATTATTGCCAAAATTCCAGCAAGATTTTTTTTTTTTTTGAGAGGTTTTTGGTATGGGGTGTTGTGCTCTTGCCAAAAAAGACACAGAGAAACAGAGAGACAGAAAGTGAGAAATTACCCCCCAAGGAGGATGGACACATTGCAATCCCTTCCCCTCCATTCTCCTCTCAGGATCTTGGGCACGCATGCACTTGTGGCCGGCGTGAGTTTAAGCCACCAGGTCCGGGCCTCAAACTGTGATCAACAACATGGAAGTCCAATGACATAGTCATTACATCAACTGCTGGTCCCCCAGCAAGATTTTTTTTTTATAGATAATCAAGCTTATTATAAAATTTATACAGAAAGGCACAATTCCTATAATAGTTAAAATAATTTTGAAGGAAACATTCCACCTGGTGTTAAAATTTCTCATTATCATATAGCTTCAGTAACAACACAGTATGTTATTGGGACCAGCAGATGGCGTAGTGGCTATGTCGCTGGACTCCTATGTAGTCAACCACGGTTTACGTCCTGGACCCAGTGGCTTAAAACTCACACCAGGTATGTGTGCATGTGTGCCCAAGATCCCAAGAGGAGAATGGAGGAGAAGGGATTGCAGCATGGCCATTCCCCCTGGGAGTGATTTCTCGCTTTCTGTCTCTCTTGTCTCTCTCTGTCTGTCTGGAGAGCGCACACACCCTATAGCAAAAACCTATCAAAAAAAAAAAAAAGTAAGTATGTTATTTATGGTAGAACAGGCACTGAGATCAATGGCATACAATAGAAATCCTAGAAAAAGTCCCAAACAAAAAGAAGAAGAAATGACAAAAAGGTTAGTAGTCACCAGAGGTTAGGAATGAAGGAGAGAGTTCGTTGTTGCTATAAAACAGAACTTTATGATGGAAACATTCTGTAATTTGGATGATAGTCACCAAATCATAAAACTGCATAGAGCTAAATACCTAATACTACTCATGTGCTCATAAACAGAGTATATAAATATATAAAAGTTGTAAAACTGGGCTAAATTCAATAATTTCGTGATGGTTAGTTTTTATTGTGGTATTATATACTATTGTTATATAAGATGTTTCCATTGAGAACCTTGATGGAGCATGTATGTATGGGATCTCTGTGTTTTGTGTCTTACAACATGTGAACCTACAAACTTCTCATGAGGCAGCTACATGACAAAGGGCAGGATCTTGAGCAGAATGGCCATCCTTACCATTTCTGCATCTCATTCTGGTCTCATTTCCTCTGTTTATATACCTACTAGAACTCAGTCCTAGAGGCCTCACCCTAATGATGCAATCACGTTCAGAAACCCTATCTTGGGATACCATAAAGGAATTAAGTCTTCCTTATTCACACCCCAAGTCACTTTTTTAAGGGGACATCCAAATTAAAACGCATTAACCTTTGAGAGACAAAACTTTCTCCAAACCATAATAACATCCATTAGTCATCAGGGAAGTACTAATTTAAACGATAGTGAGTCGCCACTCTACTTCTACTGGAACACAGCCATAATTAAAAAGATGGATACTAACAAGTGTTGGCGATACCATGGGGAAATTGGAACTCTCTTTCACTGTTGGTCTGAATGGCAGCTTGGAAAACAGCCTGTCAGTTCCACAAGAGTTACTGTCTACCAGCAATTATACTCCTGCTCCAAATGAGATGAAAATGCATGTCTACACAAAAACAGGTACACACGTGTTCTTAGCAGTGTCATTAATAATTGCCAAGATGTGAAAACAGCCCAAATGTCTACCAAGTGACGAGTGGAAAAATAAGGTGTGCCCTCTCCACACAATGGAACATGATATGACACGGATGAAACTTGTGAACATTGTACTAAGCAAAAGAAGCCTATCAGAAAGGATTGCATTTGCTACAATTTCATGTATGTGAAATGTCCAGAAGAGGCAAATCCATAGAGACAGGAAGCAGATTAGCATGGCGGTAGAGAGGCAGTGGAATGCTCAGGTGACTGCTGAAGGGTATAGGCTTTCTTTTGGAGTGATGAAAGTATTTGAAAATAGTAGTGATGGCCGTGCAATTCTGAATATACTTAAAAACCATTGAATTGTGTCTTTGGGGGGAATTGTATAGTATAGAAATTATATCTCAGGGCCAGCAGGTAGTGTGGTGGTTACGGCACTAGACTCCCACAAGGCCAACTACGATTCAAGTCCTGACGCCTAATGCTACTCATGTTCATGATGGTTAATTTTTATTATGATATTACATACTATAGTTGTTATATAAGATATTTCTATTGAGAACCTTGATGGAGTATGTATGGGATCTCTCTGTTTTGTGTCTTACAACATGTGAACCTACAAACTTCTCATGAGGCCGCAAACTTTTCAGTGGCCTGAAATTCTTGCCGAGCGCGTGTGCATGCCCAAAGTCCTGAGAGGAGAATGGAGAAGAAGGGATTGCAGCATGGCCAGCCTCCACCCCAGGGGTTATTTCTCACTTTCTCTCTCTCTCTGAGAGCACACATGCCCTAATACAAAAATCTCTCTTTAATATATATATCTCAATAAAGCTGTTACAAATTAAATAAAACTTTAAAAAGGAAAACATTAAATACTTACTGTGATTATTTATTATACCTTTTGATTCATATAATAATTATCCTTTAAAAACAATTTTTTAGAGATTTTTGCTATAGGGTATGTGTATTAACCAGAGAGACAGTGACAGAAAGTGAGAAATCACCCCATGAGGTGGGGTGGCCAAGCTGCAATCCTTTCTCCTCCATTCTTCTTTTGGGATTTTGGGCACACACACACACATACACACATCTGACATGAGTTTAAAGCCACCGGGTCCAGGACTTAAACCATGATTGTCAGTGTGAGAGTCCAGCATCATAACCACTACTGGTCCCAATAATTATTTATTATAATTTTGATATGTATAGAAATAATACTTTCTTTCCCATCTATGTAATTAATAATGATTTGGAGATAGACAAGCCCAAAGTATTTGTTAATGACCTCTAGGAAGTGGATTTTTTTCTAAACAAATTCTTAGAAAACAAGAATATAAAGGAATGTGCTAAAAAAAAACCTATGTTCACACCTATTCCCTTTTGCTCACTCACTTTCATACACACATACACACTCTGCAAGTGTGTATGTATGTATGAATATTTAGATTTACATGTGAAAAATATTTTGGTTCTCCGGTACTATATTTGAAAAAGATGCATTCAAAAAACATTCCGTCAGACTTTGTACTTAGATTGATGCTACCTATTCCCTTTTGTTCACTCACTTTCATACACACACACTCTGCAAGTGTGTATGTATGTATGCATATTTAGATTTACATGTGAAAAATATTTTGGTTCTCCGGTACTATATTTGAAAAAGATGCATTCAAAAAACATTCCGTCAGACTTTGTACTTAGATTGATGCTCCCAGTTTTAAACGAAATTTTACTGTATTTCTTGAGAACTATCGAGCTCATCTGTAACGGAATTTAAAGAGCTCTATTTGTTCATTTTCAGCTGCCTAATGAAGATCCAGAAATCTTTGAGGTTTCATCTAAGTGTCTGTCTATACTGGTTCAGCTTTACGGAGGGGAAAACCCTGACAGCCTGTCTCCTGAAAACATGGACACTTTTGCTGATTTGCTGGCAACTAAGCAGGACCCAAAGGAACAGAAGCTTCTGTTGAGGATTATCAGAAGATTGGTGAGTCCACACAAAATCTGGGGATGCGGTGGGTGGCTTCATGGACAGGTAGTAGTCATTTCTTGGATCTAATTTCAAATCACCAGGAAAGTTATAAGAGTAGTAAAATTCCCAGTTACCTTTTTCCATAATCACTTACTGTGAACATTTATTGTAGTCTATCAGTCTGCATTTACATGTATTTTTTTTCTGAACCATTTGAGAATAAGTTAAAGACTTTGGGCCTCCATACCTCTTCATACGTAAGTATTTATTTAAAAAAAAAATGGATATCCTCTTACTTAACTATAGTCAGGAAATGTAACAATGCAATTCTTTTGCAAATCTGCCATCCGTATTTCCAATTCTATCATGTGTCTCAAAAACTTTAAGGCTTTTTCTCTGGCATAGGATACAGTCCAGGGTTCTGTGTTTTAGTAGACTCGTATCTTTACTGTGGAATAATCTTGCAGCCTCTCTGTCTTTCATGATGTTGTTGAAGAATAGAGCCTGGATATTTTGTAGCATCCCTCAATTCATGTCCAATGTTTTCTAACAAATAAGGTTCATGAATACCCCGGAGAAATATTGGTCCTTCTTAGTCCACCACATCCAGAGGCTCACGATCGTTTACTCCTTACTGGTGACATTCATTTGGATCAGTTGCTTTAATCAATGTACAGTTATGATTTAAATTTTGTAATGGTTGCAAAATGGAGATTTTCTAGCATCTAACACTTCTAACTCCTAGCAATATACTATATGGAAGACCTTTCCCTTCTGCCTTTTATTTCATTTTATTAAAAAAAAAGGGGGGGGATGCCAGTAGGTGGCGTGATGGCTAAGGTGCTGGACTCCCAATGGTCAACTTGTGGTTCAAGTCCTGAACCCGGCAACTTGCTTTCTGACTTTCCCTTTCTCTCTCTCTCTTGTCTCTCTCTGGTCCAATTAAATAACATTAAAAATAATAAATAAAATTAAATAATTTAACAAAATATGAACAACTTGTGTGTATTTTAAAGTACTTTTGAAGACTGATTTGTTTTTTCTACAATAAATCTTTTTCTTTTGGTTTTAAAGGCCATTGTTTACAGTAGCTAGTGTTGAGGATAATAAAGAATTCAGTTTTTTTTCCGATCCATTTCCGTTCACTTCTAGGTCTTATTATCTTGACAAGTGGAGGCTGTGGATGCTCCAGAGAGTTATACTGAAAATGACTTTAGTGCCAATTTGTTAAGTAGACAGTTGCAGTGAATGACCTGGCTGAGTCTGCATGTCAGGTGATGGGTAACAGAACTAGAAGAGAGATAAGGGGAATACCCTCCTGGTTGCTAGATGGTGCTTTTGTACAGCTGTATCCGCCCCACCCCCAAACAAAACATAATATCTTAGCAGGGTCATTACTCGACTGACAGGGTGGTGACACAATCTAGGCCAGTTTCCCAGATGTAGGACAAATGTTTCTGAGGACAGTAGATTTTGCAGATAAGATCGCAGCTTCGTACTAGATGATGCTGGATCATGAGAGAAGCAGTTATTTCCTTTTTAGTTTTCTTTTGATCTTTCCATTGATTCAAGGCGAAAGTCTCAGTTTGATACTACTGTATCTTTAATACTTCTCTAATCCTTCAGAATCTCCCTTTTTAACAGAGAACAGATCTCTCAGACTCTCGGCTTTTACAGTAGAGGTGACGTATCTTTTTACAAGAAATTATATTATTGGGACCAGCAGATGGCATAATGGTTATGTTGCTGGACTCCCACATAATTGACCACAGTTCAAGTCCTGGACCCATAGCTTAAAACTCACACTGTGTACATGTGCATTCATGCCCCAAGATCCTGAGAGGAGAATGGAGGAGAAGGAATTGCAGCATGGCCATCACCCCTGGGGGATGATTTCTCGCTTTCTGTCTCTCTGGCAAGTGCACACAGCCTATAGCAAAAAAAAAAATCTTTCAAAAAAGAAATTATGTTATCTAAAGAAAAAATGTGAGTTAATCTGAAGGCAAGTACTAGAAAATATAATAATACAGGTGGTATATAAATATAGCAAAACTAACAAAAAGTTTGGGAAATACTGGTTTAATATCTGGTGTGGTTAGTTTTGCAAGGATCCACAAGCTCTCTGAAACTCTTGGGACCAGATTTTTTTTTTTTTAATTGAGAATTTTCAGATCCTTCTGGCATGGTGCTTATACTGTATATTATGTAAGTTCCATGAAAAACACTTGGGCAATGCCACCATCAAGCACAGCGGTATTGCTGCAGCAAAACGTGTGAATGTTCACACCAAGTGGAGTAAATAAAGACCAAACATAGACCAATTTTGGTTCAAGTCAGGTGTTGATATATTTTTAAAATTATTTATTTATTCATTCATTTGTTTTAATTTGACCAGAGATAGACACAGGAAGAAAGAGAGGGAAAGTGAGAAAGCAAGCCACGAGATCCAGGACCCGAACCATGATCAGCCATATGGGAGTGTTCAGCACCTTAACCACCACACCACCTGCTGGCTCCAGGTGTTGATATATTTTTGAATCAAACTTCCCAAAATAATGCTTTGATTTTTAGAGCGTTCTCAATTTTAGAATTGCAGATAAGGTAAAATATACTCACCTTGGAAATAAGTTACATCATTTTCTAAAACACTGATCAAATTAATCACTCATACTCCAAGTTTGGCAAAATAATCAGACTCCTCCATTTCTGTTTATTTTATTGCTTAAAATGACATTTTAGTATAGCGTCTGACTGACCTCTTAGGGATAGGTACATTTTGTGGAAGAAAAGTTGAGTCTAAGTGAAAATAGATATAGACCTTGGAGCTGCTCATCCTTTTCTTCTTTTTAATTGTGGTGAAATATGCATAACATTTAACCATTTGTTAAGTATACAGTTCAATGACATTAAGTGCATTCGCTTTATTGTTAACAACTGTACCTGCCGTCCATCTCCACCACTTTCCAGAATTCTATACCTATAAACAATAATATCCTGCCTTCCCCCTTTTTGTCTCCAGTAACCATCATTCCACTTCCTGTCTCTATAAAACTGACTTCTGCCTCCTATAAGTAAAACCACATCATATTTGTCCTTCTGTGTCTGGTTTATTTCACTTAGCAATAATTGTCTTCAAGGTTCATCCATGTTGTCACATGTGTCAAAATTTTCTTCCTTTTTTAAGGCTGTATACTATTTCGTTGTGTGTACTTGCCACATTTTAAAAAATCTGTTCATCCATTGGTGGACATTTGAGGTGTTCCATCCTTTCTGCCCCATTAGCTTTTTCTGTTAGTTATCTCTTTGTTATTATCAGGATTGACTAGTGGGTTACAATCCATTGCTTTCCAGATGTAGCCATGTCTGGATGTCTGGTTCTTGTTTGTTTTTTGTTTTTGTTTTTGTATGTTCCCATCATTTCTTTTATCACTTTACATTATAACATGATATTCTAGGATCATCTTACACTACCACCATAGCCTTGGGACCAGCCATTCCTCCAAGGAACCATGGGAATCTTTTCATGTGGTATTAGAAACTAAGATGTAACAAATGTTCCAGGTTGAAACTACCACAACTGTTTGCTTAAAAAAATGGCCTAGACTGTCCCAAGAGTCCAAATATACTGGTTCCTATTGTCTCCTGGATGATCTTCCTACCAGTCACTCTAACCCCTGGATGTCTCTAACGCAGGTGTTCAAGAATGTTCTTGGGACCAGCAGTTAGCGTAATGGCTATGTCGCTGGACTCCCATGTAGTCGACCACAGTTCAAGTCCCGGACCCGGTGGCTTAAACTCACGCTGGGCACGTGTGCATATGTGCCCAAGATCCCCAAAGGAGAATGGAGGAGAAGGGATCATGATGTGGCCATCCCCCTAGAGGGTGATTTTTTGCTTTCTGTCTCTCTGTCTCTCTCTGCCTTTCTGGCAAGTGCACGTGCCCTATATCAAAAACCTCTCCTAAAAAAGAAAAGAAAAAGAAAAAAGAATGTTCTTAATGTGTCCAGGACAGCAAACAATAGATAAACGCTTTGAAACCTGCTGAAAGCTTTCTAAATTACCCTGGGCCAGTCGATGTTGCATTTAAGTTGGATGAAACGCACCATCAGAGATTCTGAGGGTCACAGCTCAGCTGTAATCTCGAACTCGCCTGTCCTGAAACTCAGTTCTATTTAAACTGAGTACGGAGTTTAAGAATGCAGGAGAAGGGATCATGATGTGGCCATCCCCCTAGAGGGTGATTTTTTGCTTTCTGTCTCTCTGTCTCTCTCTGCCTTTCTGGCAAGTGCACGTGCCCTATATCAAAAACCTCTCCTAAAAAAGAAAAGAAAAAGAAAAAAGAATGTTCTTAATGTGTCCAGGACAGCAAACAATAGATAAACGCTTTGAAACCTGCTGAAAGCTTTCTAAATTACCCTGGGCCAGTCGATGTTGCATTTAAGTTGGATGAAACGCACCATCAGAGATTCTGAGGGTCACAGCTCAGCTGTAATCTCGAACTCGCCTGTCCTGAAACTCAGTTCTATTTAAACTGAGTACGGAGTTTAGTGCACTCAGAAAGAAATAATGGCAGGTTACCCAGTGAGTGGTGCAGTGCCAGCACATGCTTCTGGCTGATCTAGCCCTTCCTCTTCTTCCTCCTGCTGTTCCCTGTCTTTAACTGTGTGATAGCCATTGTTTTGTAACGGTTGGCTTACTCTCTATTCTCACCTTCACATCACTCTTGTTCCAATGTAATGATGTGGTCTCATACATTGTATATTCAGTGTGTTTTAGTGTCTGATGCGTTCAAGATGGTCCTCAGATGGGTTGCTACTATGTGCCAGTCCCTGTGTTAAGGACTTTGATGTATTATCTCATTTAACCTTGGAGATCTGCTCCAGTGATTAGTCCCATTTTAGAGGTTAGAAACTAAGGCTCAAAGGGATTAAAGGTGTCCCCACAACTACCAATGACAAAATGGCAGAGCTGGTGTCAGGCTGCAGTTGGACTGCCCAGCCTGTGTTCTTTCTGAA